GGTATGTTATGTTCTCTCGCTTTTTCTACTATCTGTCTGGTGTTGAGTATTTGCTCACGCGTTCCCTTTCCTGGTACAAATCCACATTGTTCTTCGGCTATCTCTGGAAGTAAAAAGTTCTTTAGCCGTTCATTGATTATATGTAGCAGGATTTTGCTTGCATGAGGGATAAGGGCAACGGTTCTGTAATTGCTGCATATGGTTAGTGATCCTTTTTTATGGATAGAGATCAAGGTTGATTCACACCACTCATCAGGCCATTCACCTGTGATCCATATCATGTTGCACATATCCAGCATTACATCTACGCCAATTTCGCCTATTGCTTTTAGAGTCTCCGCTGTTATGCCATCGATTCCTGGAGTTTTTTTGTTTCTTAGTTGGTTAAGAGCCTTCTCTACTTCTGCTCGTAAAATGATTGGTTCAGCCTATCATATAATATAATACGTAAAATATGACATAAAATACGACAGCTTAAATATGCATAAAAAAATAAAAGAACTAACAAATACCAAAAGGCGAGTACATTATGGGATACTCAAAGATGATAATGGTAAACTCATTGCAGACATCAAAAATAAACTAAGATTTTGGCAAGAATACATAATGAAACTATTCGACGATGATAGAATGATACAAGAAGAACCACGGGAACAAACGGAACCGAAAATAATAATGTGCGAATTAGAATAGGCAATTAGAAATGCAAAGACCACCAAGACCATCAATAAGTCCAGATCAGATACCCACTGAGCTAATTAAATGCATTGACGAAGAAACACTGCATATACTTTTAGATCTGTTCAACAAAGTATATACAACAGGAGTAATACCCAAGACTGGTTGCTGTCCACGTTTGTAACACTACCAAAGTCAGTACATGCGACATAATGCTCCCAGTATAGAACAATTCCCTTATTAAGCCACACACTTACGGATATTTATCAAAATCCAAAAGGAAAACAATTCCTGTAGCTGGCTGTATACCACGTATCACAAAAAAGAGGTTAGTTAGTCTTCGTAAGTGGGTATATTTATTTAAAAACCTTTAAAAGGGCTACATAAAAAAAAACGTTTTCGGACTAAACAGTCCATCATCAGGTTTAAATCTTAAAATTGCCTAAAATAAGTATAAACCATTTAGTTAAAACAAACGTGGTTATGAAATTTTGACTATGGTTAAAAAGCAAAGATGGCTATACTTACTAGGTTAAAATGCCACCAAAATACATGGGAAAACCCTTTAAATTACATATAGTTGTAAAAGATTATACATCTTGTTGTTAAAAAACTGTGATGTTCAGTATTAAATTAAATATGACTTCAGGTAACATACATTGCTGAAGTGAGTTCCAGAGCCGGGGAGTAAACCTCTACACACGGAGAACAGCTGGAAACTAATTGACAATATACCTATGAACGGTGTCAAAAACACAATGTCAATGTAACATGTAACTATATTAGTTAAACCTAGTATTACTACAACCAAAAGATTTAAAAATTATTTTGATGATTTTAAAAAATAATAACAGCAATCTAGGTGTTGGAATTTAAAATTTGGGTTATAATCGATGTGCAATCACCAATGGTGTTAAAGCCATGTTTAAGAGGATGACCTGTGTATTAACCTATGTTACTTTTTGTCGTACGGAATGTGGTCTAAAAGTGTATTTTATGTTAGATTAGCTTATATATATATATATATTATATATATATATATATATATATATATATATATATATATATATATATATATATATATATAGACAAGGTAGTCCAAAGTTTTTTGACTAGTTTGGAAAAAATATGTAAATACTTTTTTCTTTTTGGGTGTGGTAGTCAATAAAAAATAGAGCTTTGCTAAGGCGTACTATTTATTCTGAAATCCGAGCTTTCGGTGGTTATTTGCCACCTTTATCAAGGTCTACAATGAAAATTACTGTGTTATAACATTAGGCTGATGTAATATAAAAGTTATAAAAACTTACCAGAAAGTAAGATTCATAGCATATAAAACACAACGTTAAATAACATAATGTGATCTGAATTATTGAAGGCATTAAAAATTTTAAAAACTTTAAAATACTTAAAAATTAAAGAACATGTTACAAAGTTTAAAAAGTAAAAAAAAATAAGACGACATGTTTGACAAAAAACAGTCGTCTTCGCAGGTTTGAATTCAGTCACATCTCACGAACAGAAAGAGGTAGTAGGAGGAACTATTGTTGTTTAAATAGTTCGATGTAACTACAAAAAACAAACTTTCAAACTGATGTCTAACAAAATGCCGTTTGTGATTTTAGGTACTACCAACCATGTTACCAACTTAGAATTGAGAGGGAAATTTAAAAAAAGGTTTTATTATGTCAAAAAATAAAAAGAAAATAGTATTTAGTAAATAGGTTTAGAAAAAACAAACAAACAAAACAAAATGAACATCTGAATAATAACTGAAGTTAATCATGATAATTATAGCAATTAATAATGGAATTTACGAAACATGAAGCACTCTGAGATGCAGAAAACCCTAGTCAAAAGTCAAAATAAAATTGTAAATTTTGCTAAGATTTATTTGTACCATTTCTAAGAATGTTCTCTTAAATTTATTTTTCTCTCTGGCTAATATTTTAACATTGTTGAAATCTATCTTATGGTCTAGATCGATAGTGTGTTCTGCCAAAGCACAAGTGGGTTTATTTAGTCTACAGTCACTCTTATGAGAAATGATACGACTAGACAGATTTCTTCCAGTTTCACCAATGTACGTGGATGGACATTCAGTACATTGAATGCAATAAACAACATCTCTTGACTCTAAAGTAGTTAGGGGTTGTTTTATTTTGCTATATAGCTGACGTATGGTTTTGATGTTCTTGTTAGCTATTTTGATGTTCTTAAATTCTTTGAAAATTTTAGTAAGTTCTACGGTTAGTTTTGGAATATACGGAACGGCATAAAAATACACACTTGTTTGAGAGGAATGGTTTTGTGCTGAGGGCACTGATTGAGAATTAGTAAGAATGTTATTTCTGTTAAATTAATTTTTAATGTTCCATTTGTTAACAAAAATAACATTCTCACTAATTCTCAATCAGTGCCCTCAGCACAAAACCATTCCTCTCAAACAAGTGTGTATTTTTATGCCCTTCCGTATATTCCAAAACTAACCGTAGAACTTACTAAAATTTTCAAAGAATTTAAGAACATCAAAATAGCTAACAAGAACATCAAAACCATACGTCAGCTATATAGCAAAATAAAACAACCCCTAACTACTTTAGAGTCAAGAGATGTTGTTTATTGCATTCAATGTACTGAATGTCCATCCACGTACATTGGTGAAACTGGAAGAAATCTGTCTAGTCGTATCATTTCTCATAAGAGTGACTGTAGACTAAATAAACCCACTTGTGCTTTGGCAGAACACACTATCGATCTAGACCATAAGATAGATTTCAACAATGTTAAAATATTAGCCAGAGAGAAAAATAAATTTAAGAGAACATTCTTAGAAATGGTACAAATAAATCTTAGCAAAATTTACAATTTTATTTTGACTTTTGACTAGGGTTTTCTGCATCTCAGAGTGCTTCATGTTTCGTAAATTCCATTATTAATTGCTATAATTATCATGATTAACTTCAGTTATTATTCAGATGTTCATTTTGTTTTGTTTGTTTGTTTTTTCTAAACCTATTTACTAAATACTATTTTCTTTTTATTTTTTGACATAATAAAACCTTTTTTTAAATTTCCCTCTCAATTCTAAGTTGGTAACATGGTTGGTAGTACCTAAAATCACAAACGGCATTTTGTTAGACATCAGTTTGAAAGTTTGTTTTTTGTAGTTACATCGAACTATTTAAACAACAATAGTTCCTAGTACTACCTCTTTCTGTTCGTGAGATGTGACTGAATTCAAACCTGCGAAGACGACTGTTTTTTGTCAAACATGTCGTCTTATTTTTTTTTACTTTTTAAACTTTGTAACATGTTCTTTAATTTTTAAGTATTTTAAAGTTTTTAAAATTTTTAATGCCTTCAATAATTCAGATCACATTATGTTATTTAACGTTGTGTTTTATATGCTATGAATCTTACTTTCTGGTAAGTTTTTATAACTTTTATATTACATCAGCCTAATGTTATAACACAGTAATTTTCATTGTAGACCTTGATAAAGGTGGCAAATAACCACCGAAAGCTCGGATTTCAGAATAAATAGTACGCCTCAGCAAAGCTCTATTTTTTATTGACTACCACACCCAAAAAGAAAAAAGTATTTACATATATATATATATATATATATATATATATATATATATGAAAATTATCCTTTTATGTTTATCACATCTAGGACAGTTAAAAATTTAATAGCAAATATTCGAAACTAATATAAGACCTCGTATTTAAATTACTTTATTTAAGACTGCTAGTATGGTGAAAAAATTAATAAAAATAAGTTTGGTAAATTAAAAATCTACAGGCTGAAGAAATTAGAGTTATAGCCTATGTGATTAAATTTAAAATTGAAGAGGCTGAGCTCCTCGGAGACTTGATGAGAATAAAAGTAGAGATGAGATATTAAGGCTCATAATGCAAGGCTTAAATGTAAAAGATCCATAGGAAGACGAAGAATTTCCTGGCTGAGAAAACTAAGAGTGGTATAGTTGCAGCTCAGTAGATCTTTTTAGAGCAGCCGCCACTAAAGTACGGATAGCTGTGATGATAGCAACCTCCGATAGGAGAAAGAACTACAAGAAGAAGAATAGACCAGAAAGCATGCCTTAAGACTTAATAAAGAAAAGAAAAGTCTAAATTTATTTTGAAGAAGTAATTTAGATAATATTTTTTTGTATAATGTTTAACTAGTTACCTTGCCAGAGCCTAATCTTTTATTATTGAATAATTAGTATCCTAATTATATCGCTAGTAAAAAAGTGACTAAGTTTTTTTTCTAGTGTTTAAAATAAGTATTAACAGTTTCAAAAATGTTGTAGGTAAAATCTCAATACGAATTATGTAAAAAGAAGAGAGTAGGACTCTTAACATATCCTGAATCTATGGAATATGCTTGTGAAGTGGGTCCTAAAATGTTTCATGGATTTGCCCCCTATGCAGGGTAAGTAATAATTATTTTATTTCTCATTACCAAAAATTTGTCGTTTTCTTTGTTTTAGAAACTCTCATTTTGAAATGACTGTTAAATGTTATTTTACCCCAATGCTAATAAGAAGAATATAATAGGTCTCAAACCAAAATATAAGTTATTTTAAAGTAATATAAGCTTTGCTCAAAGATCATATACAGGCAAAATATCAACAAAAATAGTCAAACATATAAAAAAGAAAAGAATAATACCAGCTTTCAAAACAAGTAGCAACTTAGGCAAATATATTAAAAACAACAAGAGCCAAAATAAAAAACACATGTATGTGTAATACATTGTGTATAAAAACTTAAAGGTGGCGACTGCCCCAAAACTTACATCGGTCAAACTGGTAGAAATTTTAATAAACGAATAGCAGAACATAAAAGGGATTTTAATAATAGAAAAACAGATTCTACATACGCACTTCACCTTCTTGATTATAATCATTCTTTTAATGGTGAATTTAAAATTCTTCACATTCAAAATAAAGGCCTTAAGCTATCTTTGTTAGAAACTATGGAAATCAACAAATTAAAAAACACAGTTATAATTCTGAATGACCAACTTGAGACAAACAGTTCTCCCCTCCTTAACCTATTTCATTAAAGACTATAAAGAGTAAACGCATGCCAAAATTACATCACTTGAGAAAGGCAATTAGCTGAAAGAGCTGTAGCGAAAGGGTTTAAAATAAATTTTGTGGAAGTTTTGAAAACAAAGTTTTTAGTGTTTTATTGTTATATAAGCTATTTGTTGCAAATTATCATAAAATATCTACATTATACATCCTATATAGAAACTACAGAGAGAACAATTGTTAAATATAGTACATAACTATTTAATATGTAAAAGTTGATTTGACTAATTTGACATTCAGATTGGGTTAGTCGACACACACAGTAATCAACCCTGCCCCTAAGAACATGTATATACCGCTATACAGTAGCATTCACTTGTCCGAAGGTCAAAACGGTCTCACTTCGTTATTGACTATTCGGATTAAGATCGCAGCGCCAATGCGGTATCAATTTGAACCGAGCTAAGAGCCATTATAATAATTGTTTACACCTCATCTTGTAGATTGCGATTGCGTTAGTTTTATGTTTTTTTGAGTAGTTTTGTTCGTTTATTCATGGTTTTTTAAATTCAATATTTTTTGTTTGACTATTGTTTATTCGTACTGATTAATAGACAATTTTGTTAATTATAAGTTTTATTTTAGTTATAGACTTGTTAGAGTTAAAGAGTTAACAAGAACTTAAAGTTCTATTTTTTAGTCCTGAAGTTAAATATCTTAGAATATATGTAAGTTTTTGGGTGGTACTAAAAATTCAAGATGTGCTGCAGAAGGAGAACAAGTTTTAAACTCGGTTATCTTATTTTGACTGAAAATTTCACTGACGTAAGTTATTAACCCACCAGGTGAAACACCAATCATAAACTAATTGTTAAATGGGATTTATATTGAGAATAAAATAGTATTCGGCAACACAAACACTTGGAGTCTGTACATAAATGTCAGTACAGCCCAAAATTAGCCTAACATTTTGAAAATCAACAAAACAAGCTAGGTAACATATTTTTAAGAATTTCTCCTTTGGTGGGAAAATACACCAATGGCCGTAAGTTGTGGCTCAAGATAGGTATTAATTTATAAATATAAGTTTTTGTTAAGTCAGCTGTTATACCAAACAAAGAACCCAAAGTGGCATAAGTCAAATTTAACTTAAACTTTGTAAGAACTAACATTATCCGCTGTCGAATGTTTAACCTATGAACTCGTTTGTCCTTAATATAATTTTCAGTCATATTTACTATACAGTTATAAATAGTGAAGTTATGTACACAAGTACAGTTTTTTAATTTAATGTCATTAACGATTTCATACAATGTAAGCACTTTTGGAGTGTTCACTTGCACAACTGCATCTTTTGAGGAAAGAGTGCTATTCTGGACTAGAAAGTAAAAATACATACTCTATCATATGTACAAAAGTACATACACTATCAATTAAATAAACAAAATTAAAATCGATTATATCTTTTAAGAGATCTCTTAATCTAAATTGCTAAGTGACTAAAACATGTGCAACTATTTGATGACCTGTTATGAAATATGTATAAACTGTGTGATAGTTCTTGGACAATATTTAAATTCTAAATGTTTCTATTAGTTATGGTTTTTTATTTGATTGTTACAGAACATGTAAAAAAAAATATTATATTTTTTTTCTCTTGGTTAAGATCAAAAGCAGAGGTACTGATTTCTTGAAATCAGCACCACCTGATCTTCGGCATTTTTTCTTTCTTATTGTATTATATGCTTGTATAATTTTATATATTTTGTGTATTGTATGAATTTGAAGGAAAAATAAAGACCTTTATTATTATTATTATAATCTTCAATGACACCAAAACACAATATGCCTTCAAATGGTCTTCAACGTGAAAGAAAATAAATAAAATAATGGCTCTTAACTCGGTTACTGCAATAGCCGCTAGAGGGCGTAATGCTTACGACGAATTGCCAATTGAAGTGGTACCTATCTGACACCCAAGCTTTTCTTCTAGTAGGGGAGCCCAAGCGGGGATTTCGGGATTTACTAAAGCGCGGCAGATTATTATACAGAGAGAATCCTTGTACCCAGTTAAGTACTTCCACCAAATATGAACCCCATATATATGGCCGCCCGTCAAGGATAAAGGATCAGATTAGTAAAAAAAAATTGATCATCTGAAATTCTCGAGCGCGTCAGATTAAGGTAGGGTGAGTTAGTTACATGCTAAAGAGTGTATATTCCACTAATCTGACAATTTGAGAGTGACGCAAAGAAGGGGGAGGGCGACAAAGTTGTAAAAAAAAACGTCATCTCGACATTCTCGAGCGTGGCTAAATTTTTTTTTATTTTGAAGGGAATAATTGAAGAATTACAAAAAATATATAATCTGACGATTTCCACAAGCCGAAGTAATAAAAATTCATCGATAAAGTTTAATACGTGCAGCTACGTGATGCCTATATTCCCCTCTCCGCGTTTCTATTCCTCTCTCACTCTTTCTCTATCTCTCATACCGTCCCCACTCTGGTTTCTGTTGCCATGACGCCATGACAGCTGATCACACAAACGCGTTTGTGGCATGATATTGTTTACAACGTATTTCCAACGTTTTAGCTCATTTTGTGATTTTAACATAAGTAAGGTGAATTTAAGTTTATAAATATTTACTATGAGTGATAATAATATAAAGTGTGTATTTTGTGGTGAAGCTACTTTGCAAAAAACAATTAAATTTACATTAGACACATTACAAAAATGTATAAATATTTTAGAATATCGTCGAAGCAAACCGGTTTTCAGAAAATCCCGAACAAGATACGATAATCTTTAACTTTCGAAAGAATCTTCATTACATGAAGTCTATCACGCACAGTGCTACAAATTATTTACTGCAATAAAAATACCACCAGACTTTCAGTATTTACAACAGCAACAACAGCAAAGTGTAGTGGAATATGATAATGCATCAGAAGTTAAGAGGAATAGCTCAGAATCACATGCTCCTGTTTCTGGAGAGTGCTCCAAGTCACATGTTTCTGTTCCTGGAGAGTGTTCTGAGTCACAAGTTCCTGTTTCTGGAGAGTGCTCCAAATCATATGCTACTGTTGATTCCACATCTACTGAGGCTGTTGGTACATCAACAGATGAGTGAGTTTTAGTATGACTTTATGTAGTAAATATTAAAAAAAAAGTTATTGAATTTTTTTTTAGTTAAATTTATAGACCAAAAAAATCATTATTCAAAAAAAAAACCTAGGGGACATCCATTAATTATGTGAGCTCGAAATGGGGTCCAATAGAATCTCATTGAGTCTCACTTACACCGAGGGGAGGATAATTGAAAATCTGACGTCATCTTAAAAAAATATAAATTATTACAAATATTAAAGAAAAAATTATTTTAAATAACAGATGATATATGTCCAATTATATCAATCGAAAAAGTACATGAGTCTCCATGGATTGAGTGAAAAATTGAGAAATGTACTATTTTTACCTGTTTTTGCTTTAAATTTCATTTAATTTGAATAAATTATCTATAGTATACCGAAACGGTTATTTTCCCGAATAATAAAAAAAATTAGTTTAAATAATTTATAGCGTAAATCTCATTAAATGTCACCTAAGGGGGGAGGGGTCTAAAATGATCGAAAAATAGCTGACGTAATTAATGGGTGTTCCTTCATTATTTCTTGCGTCAACATAACTATTAATACCATTATAAAACATGAACTAATCTATTTCTTTTATCAATCTTTTAATTTCATAATATAATCTTCAGCTTTATTATGTTATTGTTAAAAAATTTTTTGCAGAGCGGGAGAATACAGCAACATTCAAGTAGACTTGGAGGATTTCAATGATTCATTCAACACAGATAAGCCTGTCGCTCATAACGATTTAGCATCCCAAACTTGCTTCATTTGCGAAAAACAACGTAAACGGCATCATGGTCGTGAAGTTCGCTTAGCTATCAGTAGATTAAAAACTATAGAGAATGTCAAAAATGCGGCCACGGAACAAAATGATATATCGATGTTGGAAAAACTTAGTTCTTTCTCCGATGATTCCAAAATGCCTTACCATAAATGTTGCAAAGATCAATATTTACGAGAAATTTATAAGGATGAAAATAGCGAATTTCTAAGAAAAAAAAAGATTTACAATACTGCGTATACTATTATTTGTGATATGCTAGAAGAAAGAGTGGTCAAGAATAATGAATGCTTATTTTTTGACTACATAAAAAAAGAATATCAAAAATTGTTAGAACAGCAAAGCAGTTTATTGTCTGATTCTATTACTATTTCTTCGTTCTCAGACCGTCACTTAGAAAGAAAATTAATGGAAACATTTGACAAAAAGATTAAGATTATTTACGCTGAGAAGAAAAAGTTTATTGCTCCATTTT